CAGTTCTGCTTTCTGAGTATGCTAATCTGCTTGCTGCTGAGATGAAACCTGAGACAGTAGATCAGGAAATGCAGGATTTTGAGATGCAGATTAACCTGGCTGAGAGGAAGCAGCAGAAATTCTTTTCTGAGAAGGCAGTGAAGAGAGATTTTGAGATAATTATCATCTCAGATAAGAAGAAGAAGAAGAAGAAGAAGAATGAGAAGTGAATTATAAAGAATGATAAGAAGAATGAGAAAGAGTAGAAAGATGATGAGTAGAAAAGGTTTTTTTCTTTTTATATTAGTTAGTTATAAGTTCATAATTATTAATAATTGAAATTAATTTTGAGTTTTTAAAAATTATTGTACAAGTTGTAATCAAGTCAGAAATAATATATATATATATATATATCTATAATGTATAAGTATCAACATTTTTTCAACATTGATATTTACAATTATTAATATATTTTTAATAATATTATCTGATAACATAATTTAGTAATACTCTCTTTCATAATATTAATATATTTCAAGAAATATGACAGAGATTAATCAAGATTATTTATTTACTTTTATACATTGATGATATTCAATCTGAGTTAGTACTAAAATTATAACTAAGCTAAGAAACAAGATTATTTTCTCTTATATTAATTCTTCTTACACACATCAGTGATTAGTTATTGAAAATAAATTATCATCTTTCTTAAATTATTATTATGTCTTCTGAATTCACTTCTTTCACTTCTTTTACTTCTATTGAAGATTTATAAACTCTTCAAGAAATCACTGTGAATCACAAAGTCTATGTTGTTTACAATTTAACACAGAATACTCTCTTTCAATTATAATGAATAATCACTTCATTCTTCATATCTGATTTCAGGTCATAAAATTTATGAAAAACTCAACACAAACACTGAGATGAACTATGAAATAATTATTAACAGATTGTATTATAGATTACTGAAGAGTTATCTCTCTACTGCAATTACTACAACTTCATTCAGAAACATTCATCATGAACTGATTATAACTCTGAAGAAATTTCCTGACATCTGAAGTTATCAGAATGCAGATAATAAAAGAAAAATAATCAGAAGATTACTACTGAGCTGATAAGTTACTCTATCAGATAATGATTTTTAATAATACTAACTTTCTAATTTGAAGAAAATCATGTGAAAATGACTATGTATCAGTACTCTGATTTCACAACTCTTATCTGATAACTTCTGTGAATAATTACTTTGCATGTATATATCTCTGAATCTTTCTCTTCAATCAATTGAAAACTCTGAATTCTGAACACTTCTTTAAATACTTAATTCAAATCTTCATATTTCACATTGATTCTGTCTTCAGTCCAACCTTGAGACACACTACAAAGTCAATATACAACATCTAGAATCAGAGTTGAAGAATCATTGAAGAGTGTCTCTCACAGTGAATGCATGAACTAGTACAAACAATCTTGCATTTATAAGAGTTACATGTTATTACATTGATGAGAACTGAACTTATTAAGAGATATTAATTGAATTTGAATCATTGATCAGTAGTCATACTGAGAATTATATAACAGAGATATTAATAACTGTGATTAAAAATGACTATTGAGATATTAATCTCAGTCTTCTTACAATTACAACTGATAATGCTGTGAATAACTACACTATGATAAAGAGCTTGAAGTAAAAATTGACTTTGCATTTCTGAAATAGTAAACAAGGTCATATTCTCTGCATTGCTCATGTGATTCAACTTGTGATATAAACACTGATAAAGAATCTTAACATTAAGATGAAGAATAATGAGATGACTGATTCTTGAAATGAGAATGAGATGAAAGTGATTACTCAAGTAACTTTTACATTCACTTTGCAAAAGATAATGTTTTTTAATAATACTTTTTAATATTACTTTTTAGTAATGCTTTTTGATAATGCTACTATTAATTTTGAATAGATTGACTAATAATTTAAATATCACAGATTTGAAACATTGCTAATGCAATTTATACCTTCTCTAAATAATAATAATGATTTCATAATATTCAATAAATAAACAAATCAGTCACATCACTGAATATGATACAGAATATTAGAATATAATGAAGTTCAATATATGAGATAACTGTTTAAGCTCTTCAATTGTATTAGATAATTGATTATTGAGTGCAATACTCTGATCAGAAAAAGATTCAGATATTAAAACTTTCTGATATGAAGTGAACTCAGTTAAAATATGTGATTAATTTACTGTTTCAGTTTTATAAGATAATAAAGACAGTCTCAATCACTTGTACATCAATGCTGCAGTCAGTCTGATAAGTGTATAACAGTTTATTTACTTATCTTGAGAAGCAGTTGAATCACTTAAAAAGAAATTCAGTCTGAAATGATGCTATAGCACAGGCTATTATTACTATAAGAGATAAACTGGTATATTACTACAGTAAAACTGAACAATCTTTTGCAGAGTACTATACTATAGCAGCTCTACTAGATCTCTTCTATTAAGTTAATATCTACACTTCTCAAGATTGAACAGAGAAGAAATGAGACTTATATGTTAAATTAGCCTGAGACTACTACAATATCAACTATCAGAGATTTAAATGAGCAGATGTTTGAGATGTGAAGATAGTGAAATACAATTCTCTAGTAAGTAATGATCTTTGATAATACTTCATATTATATAGAACTATAATACTAACTTTGAAACAGAACTTATATACATTGATTGCAACTGAAAATCAGACAAAACTACATACTTATAAAACTAAATTTGACTGCTATCTTCAAGATAATCTGATGAATTTACACATTAAATCAATTCTAGAGTTATGAAAAATTGTTGAGAGTACATATTCAACTGTTATACTGATGACATGTGATATTCTGATAATTTCATTGACAGAAGTGAGAATGAAGTGAAAGTTCAACTCAAGTCAAGATATTTATCACTATCATCAGAGACAATTATAAGAAGAAATAATTAAGAAACTCATAATTGTAAAACATAGAATTATCAGATAGTTTAATACCTCTGATCACAGTATATCAGAGAAGTGTAGTTTTCATGAGAAAGTGAAGAATAAACTTGTATAAGAATGTATTTAATTGTTTCATAAGTGTTATTAATAATTGTTATCAAATTCTGATTATATAAGTAATCACTGAATGAACTGAATGAGACTGATTTTAATCTTCAGTCTCAGTCTCATTCTGATTTTAAAAGAATGATCATCTTTCACAGTTTATTCTGAGAAATTACTCTCATTTTACTGTTCTTGAATTAAATCTGGTCATTTTTCACATCATTTCTCTCAGAAATGATTCATTTTCAGATTTTTTTGAGACTTGGTTCTGGTGAGACTCACGCTAAGAAATGTATAAGATCAGATTAAATGAAACTAAATGTGAAATTCATGATTCTGCCGGCCAGTTTAACTACTGCATTGATTTGATGATATAGTTTTGCAATCATCTCTGAGAAGATTAATTATAAGAAAACAGTTAATAGTCAATCTGCAGATGACAGAGTAAAGTGATTATATACATCATCATCATCATTATATATGTTGAGATTCAGAGCATTATTAATGATAAGAGGTCTCAATTAATTGAGAATTATATCACAATTAACTGAATACATTTCACAGTCAGTAAAGCCAGCTTTCATAGTATTAGATTTGAATACTTACAGTCAGATGCTCTTCAGATTAGTAAGAAATTATCTGTTATCATACTGCTTATATTTATAGCAGACAGTCTCATTTAACTATCTTTGTATAATAATGCTTATACTGCTGAAAAGATATATTATCAAGAGATTGTAGAATATAACTTATATAAGATGAGAATCTGAATAGAATAATCTTATGAAGATTACAGTATTAAATGAATTCTTCTATAAAATGAGAATTATGATTATTTATTAATAGCAGTTAATAACTGCTTATTTAACACTTTTTTATTATCTTATTAAACTGCTTGATTTATTCAAATTCAATCTCATCATTTATAAAGTCAGACTCAGATACAGTGATAATATAGTTATCAGATAAGTTAGAGTATGTATATTAATTCTCTAAATAAATCTTTGATTTTATTATAATCAATGAATTTAATACTGTGTTATCTATATTAATATACTTCATCACTGTTATTAATCTACAGAAGTATAATAACTGTATAATAAAATTCATATCTTTAAAGATAGTTATAACTCACTATTTATATTCTTCTTCTTCTTGAAATTCAATCTCATCAAAGTTATAGATATCACAGTGAAAAAATTAATATTAATTGAAGACAGCTTTATATCAATTAAATTAGTTGATAATGAAGCTTATATTCTTATAAGACACTTATTTTGAATTCATGAGTTTTTGCTTAATTTATTTATAATCTGACAGATGTTTAATGAATTGATATATTCATATCTTACTTACTGTAAGAGATGCAGTCTCTGAATCTGTATAATACTGTCTTAATATGCAGTTCACAGCAGCTCTGATATACTTAATAATAAGTGAATAAAAATTAATATTCAACTGATGAATTCATATCTTAATTATCTCTTTCTGACTATTATTCAATACTTGATTCAGTGAAATTCTCATAGTTCTTGATTTCTTTCTATTGATTCTCTTATATAAGATAGTATATAAGACTTTGAATTCTCATAACAGAGACATGATTTTTAATTTTGAATTACTTTTGTATATATTAACAGCTCTTTACAACTGCTCCTCAGTGTAATTAGAAGATTTAGACATGATTATAATTAATAATGATTATTTGAAGATGAAGAATAAAGATATTGAAAATATTTTCTTTACAGTGTGGTTTTCCATACACTGTGGTGCACTCACTACAGAGAGTGAGTAAGCATGGCACGGTTACTATACTATACTTATACCGATACCGATACCGATACCGTAATGTATTACACTGAATTATATTATACTGTACTATACTGCATGCACTGCAATATATTTAATGTAATATACAATACACACTTGGTGATTGAAGCTCGCCGCAGTCAGTCATACAAAGGGATGATGATTTGCTTGTTGGTTGGTTCACTTCCAACACTACAACAGAGCTCTTTTGTCACATCTCACTCTTTGGTAGGTTTCAGCCCGGGTAGTTCGTCGGTGAGTGACACATCGCGGTGATCCAATGGCCGTCTCTCCTCCTGTTGTAGCATGGCGGTGCTCTGTTTGTTTTGTCGCTGATCTGGCGCGCTCCCCTCTGTCTGTATCTAAAATTCACCCCCATATAAAGAGTCTCTACCTGCTCTCGAGTTTTCTAACCATCACTTACTACAGAACACACCATTAATAAACCGGAATCGACCGCGTCGTTATTGGCCATTCAGCTCAATATGAAGCTATCTATTCATGATCTCGAGAAGTTGACCGCAAAGGACCTGGAGGGCGTACTGTAGGATACTCCTATTTTGATTCAAGCAAATCATAACATGGAAGTTTTTGTCAATAAAATCGCATGCTGACGACGCTGAGAAGTTGGCTTGAGCCAGTGGAGGGGGAAGAATGGACCGAAGAACATAAAAAGAAATTGAAGTAAGGAAGAATTTGTCATTGCTGTTCGATATCCTGCCCCTTCCATGTGGATGCTGACATTGGATTTGGAAGGGAGCTTGTCGACGCGAGAGGCCAGGATTACCGCTTGGATGCGACAGCACTGGGGGAGAAACTTAGGTGAGGCTTCTATTTGGATTTTTGATGTACAGATATCCGGATTACTGATTAAAAATTTAATATTGTCGGCAAAAAAACAGAAATCTATCCAGTACAGATGCTCGCCGCCGCTCTGCTTCGACCGAAAGCAAGACCACCGCGTCTTTCCTAACCCATACCCCGAGTCCGGACCCGGAGATGGAAGCTATTAGAGCGAAACATCGCGCAGAGAACTTGGAGGACTATAACTATCTAATACAGCAGGGTGGACGGCCGGCCTTTCCACTAGAATTAGCCCAAGCACAAACTAATGACTTTGGAGAGCATCTGGATATGGTTGAATACTGGGGACAGAGATATCGCGGCCAACGAAACCAATGGGTTGTTTTCCTAACCCATCAGATGCGAAAACGGAGGTCAGTGAAGGTTTTTACTAAATACCAGCAGACTGTACATGACTACCGGGAAAAGGAGGGGATTGAGGGCAGCATCCAGTTGCATTTCGATGAGAAACAACAGTCCAAAATAGACACGTGGAAGGAGTATCATTATCACGAACACAAATTTTTACTCCCCAGGAGGGAGAAGGCTGAGGCTGCGCGCAAACAGCGAGAGAAAGACATAGCAGACTGGGAGGCTGGTAAGCGCAATCCTCAGATACCTGAGAATATGGGCTGGATCCACTATGTGAGAGCACTAGAAGAATCTGACCTGGAGAAAGATCTGGGTTGGCTTCGCTGGATAGAATCGGAGTTTCCCAAAATAGAGCAAGAATGTGCTATCGGCTTAGACAAGACACCCCGTCCTGCAGAAGCAGAAGCCGAAACCAAGGAACCTGCAACATTGCCGTCGTCGCATATCGAAATAGAACCTCCAAGTGCAGGGAAGTCTTTGAGGAGGAGTCAACGCTCAGCCAGTGGTACTACGAAATCCCTAGTCGGTTCACCGCGAGTCTCTTCACGAAGGAAAGCAAACCCAGCAGTTCCTGCTAAATATCTTAGCCATGCACATTTAGGGACGGCTTCTTTGGCGCCACCAAGTCAAAGCAGCACACTCGCAAAACCAGCCACGAGACGAGATATGATACCCAATGAATCACGAATGGCACGCTCTGTGCCCATTGCTGAGACTGGTTCATTGCGTCGGAGTCAGCGAATTATTGAAATGGAATCGAGGAAAACTCAACAACAAGCAGCACAGGAAGCAGCAAGGCAAAGCGAGACAGCGCCCAAGATTGAATCTAGAAGGTATTTAAGGACTCTGTCTAGGAAAAAGAGCTCCAAGCCTACTTCCCTGCACAGTAAGCCCCAAGGAATCACAAAAGCTCAGTCATCTAGGAAAAGGAAGCTAGTTCCAGCTGCGAAAAAAACCGCCTTAGCATTAAGAGATGATCAGCAACAAGCAGCACAGGAAACGCCAAAGTCAAGCCGGACGGCGACTCGCGAGACTACCGGAAAGAAGGAGTCAAGATCTCAGTCTTCTAGGGAAAAGAACGTCAGGGCAGCTCCACCTCAAAGCAGACCGCAGGGTGTCAAGAAGCCTCAGGCACCTCCCAAAGGGAGACGCTCTCGAGCTCTGAAAATTACCGCCTTAGCAAGGGAAGTGACTGTGTAGTCTCTAGCAAAGCGCGTGAGTTGTTTCGTATTATCTCGACATGACCAAAGGTGTCTATCTATCCATCTCGGTAAAGATTTGCGTGAAAGCCCTCCCCCGTTATGCGAGTTTTACTACCTCGACATTTTGCCCCAGGAGGATTTCTTTCTTTTTTTTTTTTTCTTTTTTTTTTTTTTTTTTTTTTTTTTTTTTTTTTTTTTTTCCCTTTTAAAAATACAAATAAAAATAAACCGAAACCGCTCACCGCATGAGGCGGCAGCAACCCCAATCCACCCCGTCCTATTCAATCATACTGGTTGCAGGACATTGGGGCAGAGCTCGATCACCACCATGCTTTTACTAGTAGTTAAGAGCCCGAACCATTCCACATATGCGGGCAGAAGAAAAGAACGAAAAGATCGGAGTTGCCGAAATTTTGTGGTTCAGGGAAAGAACCACAAGGAAGATAGGGGAGGGATATTTTACGATACGAAGGGAAGAAAAAACCATACATTTTCAACTCGGGAACTTGCACCAGAAGCGGGAGCTGTGAAGCAAGAGGAAAACGTGACGAGAGGAAGAGTTAATGCACTGTTTTGGCATCTTTCAATATATTCGGATTGGAAAATGATTTTTTTTAGGAAATAAAAATGCAGGCTCGAGAGAGGTTCTGAGCTAGGACAATTTGAGATTATTATCATCATTGAAGTTGAATTTGAATAATGAATGGGTGCAATTAACTTAGCTTCATAACAAAAACAAACAAAAAGATAAAATAAAAAAGATAAAGAGAGAAAAGAGAGAAAATTCAAGAAGGCGCATATTACTCGCTAGAACACTTGTTGGAATACAGCGGGGTATAATTGTGGTCACGATAATGAAGGCAGATTTTGAAAAAGAAACCAACAGGAGTATGACGGCCAGGTGGGTGGGTGTATGGAAGATAAAAATACTACAGAAGCTAGATAGACAGCAAGCAAAGATAGAAACAGAAGGGAAAACAGGGATAAGATCAAGAACGAAGAGAAGAAATTAGTGAGAAAATGGCAATAATAATAGTTCAATGGGTATTAAATGCAAAAAGCAAATGAACAAAGAGACAAAGGAAAACAAATCGGAAATAAAGGAAAGATCTGACATGGTACAGCTGACTATTAAATCGATGAAGGATAAACAAACATTAAGGGGGAAATGAATGCAGACGATGAGAATATGATTAAATATACATCCAATACAGCGGGTATAGATAGAAGAAGAAATAGACTAGAAGCAAGTCGACAAAAAGGAAAATTGCAGCAGGGTAACCTCGCAAATACGGATTCTAGTTGAGCGAACAGACCGTCATGGCCTTACTCTCGCTGTTCCTCCTGGGGTGGAACAGGAGGCGCGTTAGAAGCGGCAGCAGTAGAAAACGGGATAGCGGAGGTAGATGTGAAAACAGGGAGCTGATTTATAGTCGATGGCTGCGCAACGGCGGCGCTGTGATAGCCACCCCCCAACGGGGCAGATGGCGGTTTCACAGAAAGTTGAGGCTGAGGCTGTCTGCCGGAACTTTCCGCGCAGAGTGGCGTGAGGGGAGGCGAGATGTGAGTACGTGATGCAGACGGTGCGTCATCCTTGTCCTCTAACCTAATTGCGGGTGAGAGGGTCTTCGACGGCTCCTTGTACTTGCGCTGGGTTATTTGGTCGGATGGCCACCCTCGTATGCCCCCGCTGGATGAGTTGGCTGAAAGTGGGGGAGAGGATAGATCAGGGGTAGGAATGGTATCGATATCAGAGTTTATGTGGGGAGGAGGGGGTGGCATTTTCTGCTTGATAGGATCGGAACTGGTGATAGATAGGGCTGTAGTAGGTGGGGGCGGAGGTGGAGGTGGAGGCGAAGAAGCCTGGTTTGAAGAAGTGTTAGGGTGCGATATCTTCCCGGTGGCTTTCGCGCTGCTCGATCTAGGGGTTTTCGAAGTCTGGGATTTTTTGGAAGTGGATCTGCTCGTAGTAACTTTCCTGCGCTCCTCTTCCCTCGCTGCATGCTCTTCCGGGCTAGGGACTTTGAGTTTGATATTTAGCTTTCTGATACCCGCGGAGAGGTTGGTGAGATTGCGATCTGAAATATCTTTGTTTATAGACGAGGAGCGAGCAGGGGGCATGGGCCCACCGCCGATAGTTCGTGCTTGTGGAGCAGCTGCTGTCTTTCTCGGGCTGGTCCGGACATTTGCAGCTCGCGATTTCTGCACCAATATTGCGTCTGTAGACTTCCCATTTGAGGTTCCTGAACGTGAATTCAACACGTGGGCACTGCTTTCATTTGACGAGGGCGGCGAAGTTCCCTCTACGCTTCCCCTGCTACGGGCACCACCAGTAGTCGACGCCACCGTCGACGCTATGCTAAGGCGTCGTGAGCTATGTGCATCAGTAGCTTTGGAATTTTGGTTACTACTCCCAGAAGATTCGATGATAGAGGCATCGGGAAGGTCGCTCACTGAGGCTATGGTGGTCCGTCGCGAAGTTCTAGATGGTCGCTTGGGGGTTTGGAGCTCAGGTGTTGGTGACTTTTGTTTTCTCTCCCTTAACTGCATTGGTCTCCGATCATCAACCGCAATCAACTCGGAAACATTCGAAGTTGAATGGCCGTCACGTCGGATCCGAGTATTTTCAGCCTTCAATTCCGAGTGCTGATAACTAATGGTTTGGCGGTCTGTAGGGATAAGAACTTTCGATAATTCATATGCGGCCGTTGCCCAGTCAATGACCGGGAGTGGGGGACGGGCATATCCTCCATCTCCGGCGCTTAGCTGCGATGAAATCGATCTCCGGTCACGGGAAGGCATGACGATCTTAGCGACTGACGCCTGCGTGGGAGAACAATACGTGGGAGGTCCCTTCTCACGAGGCTTGCGAGCTGGAGTTGGAGGTGGTGGGTTTGCAAGAAGTTCTAGTTCTTCTAGCAGTGGAAGTTTCCACCATTCGGTATCAAAGGTTGAGTCCTCTTCTAAGACAGTCTCAGGACGGTCGTTCAAACCAAGGCGACTCAGCATCTCAGTTGCAAGGCGATTATCTCCATTTTCAGAAGTATTTTTCTGGCTATCCGCAAGCCCTGACAAGTGACTGAGCACACCACTTATAAGAGCTCTGTCAGAGTAACCTCCTTCTAAAACGCTTATAATTCTGCCATCAACGCCCAGACCTTCCTCTTCTGCAATTCGTACAATGTCTGCTGTAAACTTGGCATAGAAATCCGTGGGAACGTTGACTTTGTGTCTCTGCATGCCAACGCCTTCCCACTCACTAGCGTCAAAACCGGCAGATATAAAAATTGCTGCTTTGGGAGGTGGCGGATTTTGAGAGTTTAGCAAACGCTGTGTATGGGATCGTAGAAACTTTCGAGTTTTTTCAAGAAGAATAGAGTACTTCGTATTGTACAGTTCCCAAAAGCCAGCGGACGTTTTCCAAGGTTCAAGATGAACATTCCAGATTGACTGGCCATGAGCATTGTCGATGCAAACGCTAGCATTGCGAACCTTGTCTACATCACCAGCCTCACAAGGATAGGAGTTGATATCGTGGAGACTGAAATAACCGATTGCCGTTTTCTTATGAGGTGGTGCATTCTTGGAGGCCCCTTTTGCCTTTCGATTTTGTTCCCAAGCAATTTCCTGCGATCCGTCTCCGTGGTGTAAATCGAAATCGATAATAGCGGCATGTGTGAGGCCATGTGACATTGCAGCATGTGTAATACCAACATGAACGTTGTTAAGCCAGCAAAACCCAGATGGATAGTCCGCTGAGCAATGATGGCCAGGGGGGCGAATGCTCACAAACGCCCGTGTAGTAGAAGAGGGTCCAAACACGGCATCCACAGCTTCGCACACTCCCCCCAACGCACCCTCAAACGCATTTAAGGATTCTGAACACAAATACAAGTCGCCCTCATGTAACTTTGGTCGGCTTGCGGAACTACTATCCCGCCCCGAACTGCTAGGCCGGACCAGCTCCTTTCCATTCAAAGCGAGACGGGATTCTGCAGCTTCGCACATAATCTGTAGTTCATCCATCCATTTTGCACCATGAACATGGGTAACCGCTGGGGAATTAAGTGACATTGTGCGTGTCGTCTTCCGTATTTGAAAGGGCGGGACTGGCAATGATCGGATGTCAAGGTCTGGATGTGGAGCAAATTGGCCATCGTCATATCGTCTCCCTAGGCGAATATAGGCAGTCGATACGCCAAGTACGCTTGCAAGTAGGCGCTCTGGACGCTCGACAATTTGCTCCAGGCCAGCTTTGGAGGTTCTTGGGCGGGAGAACCTATGTCCGTAGCAGGCATCTTGCACGATAACAAGTGTTTTGGACTGCAGGTCTGTAGACTGATGCAAAGCCAACTCCCTTTTAAAATGTTCTTGGGCGATCGAAGAGGCTGTTGGTGCCGCAGGCTGAACGGGCGGCTCTGGCATGGGGGATCTGGGGCGCATGCTCGGAGATGTAGTAGAAAGGAAATTCGACGAAGCGCGTCTGGAAAGGCTAGGGCGCTGAGGAGCAACACCATTACCGCTATAGGTTTGGACAGAGCGTAGCGAGCTGACCGATGATCTCTTTTGTAGTGAAGAAGTGGACACTCTTCTCTCGTCCCTCAGAGAGCTGGTACTAGGGGTCCTTCGGGGAACGGATGGATGGTTGGCGAAGGCTCTGGAAGGGGAGTCATGGCGAGAGTGGGAATTGTTCTGGTCGAAAGACCGCGAAGGGGACTGGTATGGAGATGGGGATGGCGATGAGGGTGGTCCGGCTGCAACAGAATTTGTCGCAAGAGAAAGGCGATTAAAGGAGTGGGTCAACTCGTCAGAGGGTTTGTTAGACATCCTCCTCTGGAATTTGCCAGCGGAACTGGATTGTTCTCGTTGAGACCGGTCCATAGTGGAAGCAAATGGGGCACAGTCTAAACAGACAGGCCTATCAGAGGCAGATCCCAAGCGATGCGAGGAGTTTCTGAAGGTCAGATACGCATAGCTATAGGGGTGGATGCGACGCGGAAATGGTTGAGGTTCGTGAGGACCAACTAAATATTATTTAAGAGCGATTTGGCGCGCCTAGCGCGTTTTCCGGCCCGATTAGGGAATTAGGGTAGACCAAGTAACCACCAGAGTTAACCGCCGACATAGAACAAGGGCTGCCTCTATATCTTACTTTCCTTATTACACTCGATAAAAGGTGGGCTATATGGATACAGCAGCTTCACAGTCCTCGGGGTGCCACTTTGAGGTGTATGGAGTTCCTCAAGCAGCTTATTGACCCATCTAAAAAGGGCAGAATATGTCAAAGCAACCATGCAATATATTGTTTGGGTAACAAGGTCATCGGTATTTAGATATACAGTACATATATATATATATCTCTTGCCTAAGGTCGCTGGGTCTTCATTGCTTAATCCCTAGGCATGCCCTTAGGTGGACGATACACCTATAAATTTAGGTGAGCGCTGACGAAACCTCATCCGTATATACATACATTCCTTCAGGTGAGTCTATACCGGTGGGTATTGAACATTGGTAAAGCTGACCATGGTACAGGAAAGGAATATCTACATTTGCTCAATCCCGACCTCCGAGTCAAAAGACTTGACATCTGGCAAGGAGAACGTCACAGACTCAATTTGCGCAAGTGTCAATCTCAACAGGCACCATGAATTTTGGATTGGCTCCTACGACACATTCGGACAGTGGGACAGAGAGTTGGATCCAGTTTCTCCAGAAGGTCTAGGAAAGGGACTGAGTTACGGCACCTGGGCAGGGTCGAGGGCTTACTTACATTGTACACATGTGTATCGTTTTATTTCAAAACCTCATTAGCCGTTGCTTCCCTTGCTAGGGTTCAAATATCGCGATTCTTCCAAACTTTGCAGTCCTCCCTTTTGCCCCTACAACCCAGCATGAAGCCAACAGCCGTCGTCGCAACCGTTCTTGTTGCTGTTTTCGGGGGCTTCTACGCTTAATTCTATGCCCAAGGAAGCTATTCGTCAAATTGACCATTTCTCAGCTATCTCTCCTTTTACTATCTCTCATGCGCTGTGGCGAGCTGCATAACCGGCCGAGTTTTCACGTTATATTACTACACTCCGGGGCAAAATAAGCCAGTCAGCAGCTAGAAAATGCCAAAATTGTCTCTACAAAGAGAGGCCAATGCAACAAAGCGTCTCCAAGCGCTTTCTAACCTGGTCTCACTTACTGAGCTCGTTTCAGAGGTCCCAGACCTCGACCAAGACTGTATTCTTGGCCCGAATGTCTATGAATCAGCTAAGCTTCTCTATATGTAGTTTAACAGTGGCTTAACCTGCGTGCTCACCATTCTTCCTAACAAGATATAAATTAACGGTTAGAGCGAATAGGTTCTACTATTTAGCATGTTACTTGACCTGGTTACAGCGGAATCAACATTTGGCGGAACATTTATGGCTTCAAATGCTCCACCTTATCTGGAAGAGAAAGCATTTACTCGGGAAAACAGAGGCTTCTGGAACTACACTCACAAACTCCATTCTACTTCGGCACGTGGAGCTGAAATTTCAAGGAACTCTGAGGTATCACATTCTTGAAGATCCGTGACGATATTACACACTGTATCTGATAACCACATCGCCCCGTAGCTTCACTTCAGCATCTTAAAATATCAAGGTGCACTACGGCACAAGACATAGATGATATTTACATGAAGAAAAGGTTACCTTATTTCAATATGTGTATCTGAGACGTTGAAAGTTAGGAATGCATATTAGCATTCAATTTAGCCACTGCTCAATACACAGAATATCGATTCCCGTGCAGTGAGTGTTTCTGTCATGCCTGCTGCTTGAAGTTTTGGAGAGGATTTTATTGGGAGAGATGCAACCACCTGTCTATGCTCTTTATAATGAGATAACTTAGTTTTTAAACCATGATGCTTCAGATCTATTTGAACACTGCTTGAGATGAAAACTCAAGATAGCAAGAGAATGTGATCTCAGATTGTCAATAATTAGTACTTCGTCTTAAAGAAATCATCCGTATAATGCTTTTTTTCAGAAAGCAGTTAATTAAGAGAAAACATTACTATAAAGTCTTAAAATGCTGAAGTTGCAAGATCATAACAACTATCAGAGAGGGTAAAGATTGAAAAATTCTAAACACATAACTACTACTAGAACACAGTAAATAGACTATTCAGAGAGTTAGTCACTTCTAACCCAAGTTTTGATTCCTCTACCATGAACCTTGAGAATTATCTGAAATTTGTATCATCTCTTGTAGTTGAAGCTGTCATAGTGTTTCTTGTGAAAAATAGCCTCTGGACCAATATTTATACAGCTATTTTACTAGATTCTTTTCGTTTTCAATTGACTCTGTGCCAATACGCTAATTTACATAAATGAGGGTTATTTATGTAACTGTTTATATCAGGGGTGTTAGTTGTCTTACGCTTTTGTAGATTGCACTATCATTATTTTAGTATTCTCCACGTTAAACGTAACTATCACACTAAATTCCTCCCCTCCCGATATCAGCTTGCGAAGTGGCTTGAGCAAGCTGTGGATTCAATCAATCTTGCTATATATGTACCTGAACGACAACGATCACAATATCTCTATCAAAATGAAGAAGTCGTACTTGTGCCACGCAAATCTATTCCCACCATCTACTGAGCTTATTCGGAAACCCTGCATAGTTCTTTTCCATTGTTACTCTGAGCGGGAACCCCCTGAGCGATCCCTGAGCTAGTGAGCGGAAACATCATAGAGAGCCTCTGTTTTTCAAGAGCGTGCCCTAACTATCGCCTGAAAAGGGTTTCCATGATTTAAATTCATCCGGTTTGAACCCACGGTTTCCCCAATGCATGCCGACACGCCCTGCTGGGCAAGCTATTTTCAAGTCTATGGCCTGCTCTACAATTGCACTCGCCAGCTCAAGACTTGCATGAAGAACTCAATATCCCCTGAATAAGGGAGGCATTGCATTGGATATCAACCCATAAGTCTCGGCAGCTAGCTAGGGGGAAATAAGCCAACTATCTTGATTATATTGCACTGATAACCGCCGGATAAAAGCAGAAGCTTGAGCTGATAATATACATACACTGCTGCAAGGGTGCCGAGGTGAAACAGATCTGGAATTATCTAGGTCTACTTGGTCCGACTGAGCCCGACAAATGAACTCATTCCCCATAACACTTTATCGACTAGATAGATATGGATGAGGAGAGAGTCTATCAGCCCAATGCTTAGGCCACGATCATTTCCGAACTCTTATACATGGTGAGTGAATGTATGTACATACATGTATTTGAGTGAGTGAGTATATATTACCCTGGCTATTTCCTGCTAGCCGATGTTATTTTTCAGTGAGAAATGGCTTGAATCTCACTAATAATATATTGCTAGTAAAAGGTCTGTAGCATTGACAGGATCACATCAATCCGAAATTAAAACGAGATATACGACCTCCATTTTTTCACACAAAGGAAGACTTCAAGGAATGATCGGTAGCCCCACCATGAAAAAGGCTCTTCTCAAAACCCCCCTCCCCCCCCGCCTCCCCCCGACGGCAATCATCCCTTAGGTTCGAAATAGGACACACAACCAGTGAACATGACAAATTTGTGAACTAGGGCCAACTATCCTGAAATCGACACGCCCGTCTTATCCATTTTCAAATCGCTCTCCATGGCCAAACGGAACTAGTCATGGACATGGGGTCTCCTGTTATTTCTACCATATCAGCTCACCGATCCCAAGTGAAAGTGCAGGAAACCCTTATGCGGCTGAAACTAAATGAATCAACTGCACTTACAGGGTTCTTGATAAGAGTTCACTCGCTGTCCTCGCCCTCAGGCTCTTCATCCGGAGCTTGTCGGCCCTTGACAGGGAGTGCACCGCCAACCACGCTGCCTACAACGGGAAGGTTGCCAACGACGCCGGTGACGGAGTCGAGTGGTAGTGGCAGCTGTGGAGCAGCCGTGGTGGTGGCAGCGAGCGTGAGGAGGGTGGCAGCGAAGGTGTAAAGGAGCTTCATGTTTGGATATGTCTTCTTTACCGATAAGTTTACGGCGTAAAAGGGAAGGGTAGAGAAGGCGGAGAAGAGCAATATAAATCCGAGCGTCTGGTGCTAGGTACAGTGGTTTCTTGGTAGGAAATGTTTAGGAAAGAAAAATATGTGGAGGAAAATGTGGAATGCAATATAACTTTATACAAAAAAAGGTCTGAACTACTATGTAAGGGGCTAGGAGAACTTATTTTTTGTGAACGCTACATGCAGCCCCTTTTCTTTTTTCAACTCCAATGTTACTCAGGAGGCGGAATTTCGTGTTGTACTATATCATTTTATTTTATATAGATGTCCCCTTTCAGCGTTTTTCAGGGCATAACACGAAGATTGTAATCTCCATTTGTGCTCTGGAATTACGTCGCCTGCTGTGTCCATCCTCTCCCTCCCTTTAATAACCCCCTATCTTCATCCAGAAAATTCTTTTCGCCTCTAGGAACGACAACAGTAAGACATCAGAAAGTAGTTGTCCGGAAATATTCGATGAACAAGACACCTGCTCATGACGTAGATACACACGTACATACATGCCTGACAACTTCCCCTGAGAATATTTATTTCGATGTGAGTTCCCTTACATGTTTCTGATTCGAAAGTATGCTACCACTTGCAAGTAGTACCTTGGCGAACTTGTATATAAGTGAGTCGCCATCCTGCAGGAGGGAAGACAAGGCACTCATTTCGTCCCTCGGCCCAGAGCTTTTATTTCTAAGTATATGATTGAGAATGATAGTAGCAAGCAGCCGTGGATTGCCCCTTGCTAGGAAAGAAAAGGAGCCAAAGCAGGTAGAAAAGCACTGTGGAAGAATAGCTAGTTTCTAAGATACCACTAATTTCTAGACACTTTTTGAAGGATATATAGGTGCTCTCGCCCTTAATTAGCAGATATTTAACTCAGTATAAGAAACGAATCAAACATCCAAACCTTTCTAAATATATAGCTGGATATACCAAGTCATTAGATTAAGAAAAACGTTGTTCTTTTCGTGTCACTGAATCAATCCATAGATTTGATCTCATTCCCCCAGTTCTAACCTACAAAATATAAAAAAAATAAAAAATAAATAAAAAATAAAAACACCAGAAAGTTGCCTCCCAGTCCTCACTCCCTACCAACACGATTAAACTATGAATTTCCTTTGCTAGATTCTTAGGCTCCCCCATCGAAGAGTAAATCCTTTCCCCACCTACCCAGATGCGCTGTTACTCCTATCTTTCCCATCACCCAGCAAGCCCGAAAATGTCCAAAGATCAATCTTGCACCCGCACCACGTCCGCTTCCTTCATGATATGCATAACTTTTCCAGTCCACCGAAACAACCCCTCCTCGCAAGCAAACCGAAGGAACATCTCACCCATTCATTCAATCATCGTGCTTAGTGCCTAGCAGCCAAAGCCCCAGAAGCGGGCTCCTTGTTATCCATAAACATAACCTCTTCCTTGGGGCTGGCCCACATGCCCAATTTCGGAAGGCGTTTGTCGATGTTATTAGGTGCTTCATCTTTCAGCACAGCACGGCGTTGCGCGGGCTCTTCTGCGCCGGCTTCATTTGGGGCGCTGAGCCAGGAGATCTCGAATTGGTCCATTCGCTTGTTCAATTCGTTGGCGTTCTCGGCTGAGATTGGAAGAGCGGAGGCGATTGCGGCGTGAGCGAGAAGCAGGAGGGTGCTCATGGTGTGAGATAGCCGCATTGTGTGTTTTGAGAAAGACAGGTAGACTGGGTAAGCTGTTTTGATAGAGGAATCCAAGAGGAAGTGATGCTGGGATAGCAAAACGGGTGGAATATTACGGAATCGAAGGGGGTTAGGAGGCTTTCTCGTTGGTTACACAGGCATACTCGAGGAGCTAAGGTATAAATACTTAACGGAGGAGAGCACTCTTCCAGTGCGGTATCACAGTTTATTATTAAATAGTCAGTGCAGGAAAACGGATGGCTAGGGTTCAACAAGATCTTCAACTGCGCCCTACGACCATCGACCATCCATGAACGAGGAGGGTCATTACAGTTCATCGAGCATCCCTTTTCCATATGCAACTGGTCTAGGATCTCTTGTGCAATTGCCGACAAAATGAGTCAGCTGGTCCAGTAAGCGATGCTCAGAGGGCGATTTCCGGTTGAAAATTGGCTATGGCAATGTTCTTGATGGTGTTGATGGCACTTCTCAACTTCTCAACCTTTACTGAGAACGAAAGGGAGCGAAAGTTGAAAGGGAGGGAACCATAAACATGGTATCACATATCCAAATGCATGGCAATCTTATCCGGCTACTATGAAATGCCATTAATGGACACGTCACGGCAATACCGAAACGGGTTGCCGTGTAATCCAAAGTTGCATCTGCGAGTAACACCAGTCACCGACAATTCGCGACATAAGCGCCGGCTGATTCGGAATTGTGACACCTATATGTCCAGCCTGGCGTGGACAACATAAGATCAAATAAAGAAATCGTAGAATTGAGAAAACGGAAAAAAAAGCCAATGGGCAATCAAGTAGAAGAATTAAGACGAAAACTGCTGTCCCGCCGCAGAAATTCTCCCACAGTAATACACAGCACTTTCTTCAGATACTGTTTATCTAGCAATAGAGGAGCCAAAAGCAGTCATGGGAACCGGCAATGGTTATCACATGGTCGAAAACGAGCATTTGCTTCATGATGATAATAATCATGAAGTAGAGAAGGGGATAATATCACGAGAAAACTGGAGGGAAAACTGGAGATGTACTTGGGAAACCTCAGCCAAGGCTCTTACGACACTCAACATATTCCTCCTGATCGTCCTGGTGTCAATGTTGGGGGTTTCGTCAGTGACAATCCGGCAAAAATGCGTTCCTGATACTGAACTGCCTGCTCTGCCCTACTGTATGTAATACAGACCCTACCCTCTCATCACCTATCTTCTCCTGTCGTCGCCCTTTCAATTCGGAACATGCGAGCTGATATCTTGTCCCATTTGAACTCCCTTAACCAGCTCCCGTAAGAGAAGATGGTTATGTCCGATATGTGAACAAGCGCTTCGCCCCGTCGAAGCTATTCCAGTCTGAAACATCTGACGAACTAGAAGCAGCATGGAATAAGACGATGGGATGTAAATCTCCCCTTCTCCTGACTTCCCTTTTCTCTTCTCTTCTTTTGTCCCATTTCTCCTGTGGTAGCAGTAGCAGCAGCAGGAGGGGGAAAAAAAAATAATAAAAAAAAAAAATAAAACAATAGAGAGCAAAAAGTAGTACATGACTAACCAAGATCAAATAGCAACGGACGGCGTGGTCCAGCTACCCAAATCGATAGCCAGCCGGCTTGACCGATCAATAGAATCCTTCGTCGAGCCGGGCCAATACATATATGGCGTCGGCATGTTCCATCAACTGCACTGCCTAAACCGCATCCGCAGAACTTTCTACGCGGATAAATTCTTCCCCGGCGAGTCGAAGGATGATATCGATTTCCATAAAAGTGAGTAGTTATCGATATCAAATATCAATGAATATATCAAACATAAAAAAGAAAAAAGCCACTCACCCCACCCCTACATCAAAAATGAAACTGAATACCAACCCAAAACCCCCAGACCACTGCTTCGACCTCCTCCGCCAATCCATCCTCTGCGCCGGCGATGTCTCAATGGTCTACTGGTGGAACCAGAGTTACACGTACACCGACGAGCGAGGGCAAGAGCAGTACTCGCAGCGGTACCTATCAATGAGCAACGTCGAGAAGGCGCGACACTCCTTCGCCTACTGGGACGTGGAAGCCCGCTGCCATGATACTGACGCGATATATGAGTGGGCAGAGAAGAACAAAGTGAATGTTGGGGTTAACCAGGAGTTGTTTAATGGCAGTACGGGGGATCCGTGATTCGTGATTCGTGATTCGTGATTCGTTTTTTTTTTTTTTTTTTTTTTTTTTTTTAATCTCTTTCTTCTTCGATTTTGGTTGCTGTGTGGCCTTTTCGCTTGGATAACTAATTGTGTGCTGAGGTGAGGGGCTAGGGCAACGATGAGTTCATGGACTTTTTTTGTACGCTGCGCATGAACTGCCCTCACCCGAAGCCGTGGAAACATTTCCGTTGTGACTGACTCTACGGAGTACCCCTGGCGACATTGCTGTTTTAGTTATTAGTGCTTCAACCACAAAAATAATGAGAGGCTGGTGAATGTCAATGTCCAATCCACACTCAGTATATTTTCCTCATCATCACATATGGAGTGTGGTAGAAAGTAGTTAAATGCAGATCAAGTACCTAAACTGAAAAGAACAAGATGATCACCAATCTAGTTTTGAGAGTTATGAAAGACACCCATGTTAATGTTGTGTCAAAGCTTTTCAGAGACATCTAAAACAAGAACAACATTTTCTCCTTCATATATCTAACAGGAACCAGTGCTGTACTGTGCACTTCATGAAAAACAAGTACATGTGAACTGTATCTATCTCTGGCCGTGAGGACACAATTAGCGCAATACCAATTCTATGCAATCTGATTTGTTGATAACTTATAGATTCACTATCTCATGTTTTCTGCTCTACTACAGTATAGTATGCCCCGGTATTTTCGTTAGGGCCACCCTAATATTTTAGTGGCATTCTAACCATCATTCCGGGGGGGGGCGCGTTCTCAATTATCCTCATAAATCATAAATAGGATACAGCTTCTCATTCTTATTTTATTATTTCCCCTGTACGTGCCTATACTCATTCTATTATCATCAAGATGGATCTCCTTGCTGCTCTTGAACCTTCTATTGCAACCTCCAGAAGCCCCAGAAGCTCTGGAACCCCCTGCTACACCCTCAAAGCAATTATTAACCCAACAATCACCATTGAGATATCCTTCTCCTTTGCAGTCTTGACTAGACTTATGAAAATGATGCACTTTGAGGAGTAGTTAGAGCTGCCTGGGAATCTGGGATGCTATAACAGTGGAGCAGCTGCAGGAGCTTATAGCAGAGATGCTAGCTCGCTGTTAGGCAGTTATACAGGCAGCCGGTGGCTAATACTAGATATTAATATGATTTCTACGTACTGTACTCCGTAGTCTATGCTATATACAATGATGATGAGAACGCGCTCCAAGCGCTCATTAGGGTGGCCCTAACGAAAATTGAGGGTCATACCAGTGTATGCATTCTGCAGTCTTGAAATCTCAGATGTGATTCTTCTCTCTGCTCACTCTGCTCACTCTGAGAGAGAAATATGACTTCTACAGATGATTTTCAATTCTTCAATACTTCTTTTAAATCAGATTGACTGTTTTTTTTATTAAATAGTACAGAAACAGGTGTAAAGTGAAAAGTGAATTGCTATCATCATCTTCAGCTGGGAATTCATACACTCTATTTAATGATATTAATTACGCAGTAGAGCTAGATTAAATAGATTACATAAATTACACAAAAACACTCCAATACAGCTGATGTCCATATTATCCAGTAGTTTTAGTGTATTCAATACGCTAATGTACACGCTAAAAAATACGCTAATTGTGTCCTCGCGGCCAGACGAGGGGATACTCTACTCCTCATCCCCTCGACCGAAAAAAAAGCCGCAAAAGCTGTGGGAAATATAAAAATAGAATAGCAATGGAAATGAAACTCTTCTAGGATAAAGAGGCATAGCACACAACAATCACCAACTCCCGAAATTTACAAGCATATCTCATCTCTCAACTCCGAATCAAGGGAGTCAAGAGACACCAACAGCCACCCACAGCGGCTGAGGGAGTATGCCCTCTCGCTTGACCCTTGCTGCGGTTGCAACATGTCGCCTGGCCGGAGTCATGGACGTGTCGCCATTGCTAGGCAACGTTGACGATCGGGAATGCCGGCGATGATGATGCTGCTGCTGTTGCTTAGCTGGCGGTGGGTGATTGATGCCAACGTACGTCTCACGACGGGCAGGATTTCCGACGGTAACGGACCAGGTGCGGAGCCCGTAGTAGGAGGCGATGGAGTGGACCAGCCAGCGGCTTTGGTGGGGATTGATTAGCTTAGCCTAAAGAAGTAGGGTGGGGGGGTGGGAAGGGAGGAGGAAATGGTTGAGGAGGGTGAGGTAGAATGGCAGGAACATGTGGGTGGGGAGAGTTTCGGGTAAGGGATGTGTGTATTCAGTCAGAACGAACCCAAATCCAGCAGCGCGATCCTCCTCTAAGCTTTCAAACACCATCTTCTCCCCATCTTTCTCCTTATTTAGGTGGCCCATATCGGAATGATTCATCTTCCTCGGACGACCCTGATCTTCAGGTTGATTTGTGGACGCATTGCGCACCTGGCCCCTTCTACCGACGAAGACAATTTCGTCATCGTCGGAATCGCACTTCTTTTCCGTCTCCGTCTTGTCTTGCAGTTTCTCCCACTTGTCCTCGTCAGAAAGGAGCGAGTGCGCACCCTCCAGCTCTACCCCCTCCTCATTCTGCGCCGACAAAATCTGCTTCTCGTAATACCTCTCAACGAACCGACGAATCTCCTCCTCGAGATCCCGCAGCAACCCACGGGCGGCACGGGCATGTTTCAATCTCAACCGCAGCTCCTTGGGGATCTGGGATTGGAGATCCGAGCCACCATCCTTATTCTTGGTCTTGCGGGACCCGTTGCTATTTTTAGCCTGCTCCCAAGCCGCGAAGTGGGAATCCCAGAGCGGAGCTAGGTAATATGGGACCGTACGCCGCTCGTAGGTGGGCTGAACCTGCCAGTCGATCGCAGAGGGCAGTTGGACCCAGGGATTATTAAGAAGGCGGTCTGAGAAACGAAGAGATGTGCCCAAAAAATAGTGGACAGTCGTCTTGTCAGTCCCACTTATTTTGATGGTTACAGTGTTTAAGGTGCAGGACCTGCATGAACCATAGTGTGAAATAGACGCGGTGAGGAAAAGGATCATTCATGACAGTTCAATCTTGGGGTTCGATGTTTCACGCCACTGGCACTCAGGGCGGTTACATGCTGCTTAGGCGCATTGCCCTAACAATGTGTGTTGTGTTGTGGGTGGGTTTATGCATGCAGCTAGGCGAGCAGGTGGGTTCGGCACATACCATTCTCCCAGCGTTGTCTCCGGCGGCTTCCCTCCTTGCCTTTGAGGAGCGCATCCCGTCTTTTAAGGCTATCGCGGCGGAGTGGTTCCCTGCGACGATAGGTCACAGAAGAGACAACATCGCCGCTGGTATCACCACCATTGGTAGCCGTCCTTACGCGCAACGGCAAGCTAGTGGGTGGATGGTGCTCGTCGTCGAGAGGGATTGCTAGCGAGACTGAAGTTCCGGGCACTCTAGCGGTGGGAGTCCCACCGGCTCCGTCGGCATGGATGGATTGGGCAGCTTGCTGGGACCAGACAGAGATTTCCCGCGCCTGCTGCGGCGTCAGGGACCCTTCAGCATGGAGAGTTGGATGGATAGCCATAACTACTGGCGCAGATGTATGTCGCTGAGGGTCGAGTGTTCCAAGGCAAAGACAGCAGACGACCCAACAATCAGAAAAGAGAGGGAACGACGGCCTTTGGAGATTATATCAGGACTTTCCCTGAGATGCAGTAAACGAGACCTAGCTAGACCCGACAAAGGAATGCTGCTGGAGTTGGCTTTTAAAGGGCGGTTGAAGACAAAGGTGTTCAAAAGCTCGCGATGGTTGGGAAAGTGCCAGGCCAATCATACCTAGCCGAGGGTTGAGTCATGAGGCTGAGTCATCAGAATCCGCCAAACCCGGCTTAGCTAGAACTTGGCTTTGATCAGCTGGTGTGGGGCGAAGCTTGCAGCTTGCCTCCATCTATCATGTCTGTACTCCGTACTCTGTATTATTCCTACCAATTGCCATTCTCAAACTGCTCTACTTGACAGGTTAAGTGGTACATGTACGGAGTATGTTCATACATTACCTCTTCATAACATTTCGAGAGATGGAAAGGGGAGAAAAAAGCCTGAAAATGACTCCAGCCAGCTATTGTCGCAACTCCATTTTCGATGACTCTCGCCAAGACGATCTCTGTATCATTATGACTCGAAGGTGATTCTGGGCATTTTTAGTTCAATCACCCGCAGAACGAACCCACCTATGATCATCTCATTGCAGTCACTCTTTGAAAGAATGAAAAGTGAGCCTTTTGAATTCTTGACTCCATGGGTAGACAACAGCTGCAAGGCCCTAGTTTGTCAGGGAAGTTCTTTGTTGGGATTCTTGGGAAGTACATGAACAGTACATGTACAGGTACAGTACGGAGTACATACATGGGAAACACAGTTTATTAACTCATCAAACAACAGTCCTACACACTATGCCTGTCTATCATAGGTGTGAAAGAAGAAGTGAGAAGATCTGAGGTGATGTTACTTTTTCATACTGGAATTTTAACTATCACAATCAGTCTACAGCATAAATTGAAGTTGTACATTTTATCTACTTGCATTCAGCAAGGAATTCTGGAGCTTGTGAGATGCCTGTCATAGACATTATGATGTCTAGATGACATGAATTTCTTCCTTCTCATAGTATTAGAGTGTGACAATTGCTTTATGCCACTTTCTTTGATGTTGTGGTTTCATTATATTCAGATCACAGGTATTCTGAATAGACCTCTTTCAGAGTCTTTCTTCTTCTCTTTCATCCTTTATTATTAGTTTAAGGTCAAATGCACACTCAGTCAGACAAATACTATTTAACCAAGTTCTACTAGTTTTGCATCACCTGTTCTATATTGCAACTTTTTTTGCTTCTCATATCATTATGCTGGTTTCTGTTGTGAGTGAAATTTATTTCTTCTTTTTGAGCTTTTGCTTGCATCTGATCAGTGAGAGAGGCTTATCAAACAATATCTATCTCTCTTTTTCTTGTTTCTCTTCTCTTCTCTTCAAAATGCTTATACACACTGAGAACCATTTTCATCAGTATGTACTAGGTAGAACAAGCTTGGCAAATTTCAACACACACAGAATGAAGATTGCTAATAACCTTCAAAGCTTGGTTGATATATGGGAGACTCATGACCAGCAGCACGACAGCAACCACAAATGAAGGAGTAGGTATGTGACTGACTGACTGGAAGCTCCAGCTTGTCATTCCACCCCACTTTCTTGGTCGACTCAAAATGCCGAGACTATCGTCGGGTTGAGTTCCGAGGCTCCTAGGGTAGTGGAGAAGACCCCCGGCTTGGCAGCGCTTGCCCCGTCCCGGCTAGACCAACAGTCCCGCGGCTGATCAACCGATAACCGCAGTCAAGGACCTTTTAAAATTTAGCTCACACCTCGCGCGCATCCTCCATTCCTCCAAGACACTCCCCGTCCTCATCCACCTTCCTATCCCCCAGTCGATAAACTTATATATCCCTTACATTATTTCTCTGAAGCCACACTACTCACTATCCTTAATTGTGGATTCGTTCGTTATCTCACGTTCATTTTCATCAACACACACGTTCATTCCAACTCCTGCAGGATTACGTCAAGGCTGCTTGCCTTAACGACCTCCTCCTACGATGAAGTTCCCCAGCTTCCTAAGTTTGGGTATCGCGGCCTCAACAACAGCTTTAGCAGCACTTCCCGATCAAAAACCCATAGGCGACACTATTGCAGATGTTCACCTTGGGAAGTTTTTGATTGAGCTTGCTCCTGGCGATACTCGATGGGTGACGGAAGAGGAGAAGTGGGGACTGAAACGGGTATGTTTTTCTACATCACTTCTATTTACCCTTGTTTTCATCCGGTGTATTTTGTTACTAATTTTCAAATAGGATGGCCGAAAATTTTTCGACATCACCGCGGAGGTTGAACAGAATTTATTCCCGAGAGCCTTCGCAAAAACCGCCGTTACATTCCCCACGGATCTTCACCGAACGGTCGAGGTCATGCCTCTAGCCGCCCAATTGTCCAAGGATAATATGTTCAGTCATTTAACCACGTTCACCTCTTTCCATACAAGATACTATAAATCTGAGACTGGTATCCAGTCCGCGACCTGGTTGATGAAGCAAATCCAGAAGACCATCAGCAGCTCCCCAGCATCTAACGCGAGAGTTGAGAAATTTGAACATCCCTGGGGCCAGTTCAGTATCATCGCGACTGTCCCTGGCCAGAGTAACAAAACTGTTGTAATCGGTGCACATCAGGACAGCATTAACATGTTCCTGCCATCGATTCTAGCCGCACCTGGTGCCGACGATGATGGCAGTGGGACAGTGACTATTCTTGAGGCATTCCGTGTCCTACTTCAATCGGAAGCCATTGCACAGGGCAATGCAACAAACACAGTTGAATTCCACTGGTACTCTGCAGAAGAAGGTGGCTTGTTGGGATCTCAAGCTGTCTTCTCAAAATATAAGCAGGATAACAAAGATATCAGGGCCATGCTTCAACAGGACATGACTGGGTATTCAAAGGGGACACTGGACGCTGGAGAGCTGGAGTCTGTTGGTGTTATTACCGACTTTGTTGATGAAGGGCTGACTGAATTTATTAAGAAGGTTGTCAACGGGGTAAGTTGCTTCCCAGGCATACTTGCCGTACATACATATGTAAATGTATATTTAAGCGTGTTGTCAGCTAACTCCCTCATCTCCGTCAAAACAATAGTACTGCGACATCCCCTTCGTCCTTACAGAGTGCGGCTACGCCTGTTCCGACCACGCATCCGCCAGCCGATTCGGCTACCCTTCCGCCTTTGTGATCGAATCTAAATTCGAGCACTCCAGCCAGCACATCCACACAGGACAGGATACAATCGAGACTCTCGACTTCAACCATATGCTACAACATGCGAAGATGACACTTGGATTAGCCTATGAGCTCGCGTTTGCAGACATTTAAGAGTAAATAGAAACGCTTAGAAAGCAGAAGCGGCGCTGCAAGAGAATTGGATACTGGGATACACGACTAACTCCCTATATGAGATACATAGAGATTTGTGAACATTCATTATTATCATTACTACCGCCACACGCGTTAAACTTTACGCGACTCACTGTTTTTCGATACATTTTCCGTAATTCTTTCTTTCTTTTTTTTTTTTTTTTCTTTTTTTTATATACCAGAATGGGACCCCTGGGCGGGAAACTTACAGCATACATAATGCCTCAGGAAGGCGGGTTACCTCCAGCCTCATATCTCTCAACTCTTTACCTCCCTAAAGCCCTCACTCTTCCCCTAACTCAAACTCTCCTCCTGCTTTTACCGCACCTACGCATACATACATCCCTAAAACGCAAACGCCAGATACGACATGCCCCTTCATCTAGTTCCTACACGCCGCACCGGACCATAACAAACAAACTGAACCGAAATGACATCCTAATCATCTGCTCAACCCTATGCATATTCGTTTTCTTTGGGCCTTTTTTTCTCTCTCTTGGTGTTCCTTCTTGTTGTCTTGCATACCCTGGCCCTCAGTTTTCGCATACATCCTCCTTCTACTACTCTTCTTTTTCTTCTTCCTTGAGGGATAGATTGATAGACGATGAATAGAATGAGTTAAAATAACCTTTTTTTCTTTTCTTTTCTCAAGAATTTTCCCGCTCCGGCCCTTGTATGGGAAGGGGAGGGGACGGGACAGGGGTGAGATGGGTATATTCATATTACCACAGAGGATAACTATCTAGACTCTGTCCCTTGTAACTCCGTATGGAGGAATGTAGATCTATCTGAGTTCCATTACCCCTTTTATATTTTTTGGCCCCTTTTCCCCCGCAGTGCAGTGTGTTGGATGGGCATGATGATCACTGCTGGAACAAAGGGAGATCCTCTAGTTAACTTATTCAAAGGAACCAATGATGGCAAGGAAGGGAGCTGAGCATGTTCTCATAGGAACTAAGATAACTTTGATACGGGCGATCAGATTTGCATGTATGAGTTCTTGGAATAAGCTGGACAGGCATGAACCCTGAATCTGTTTGTTGATCTCTTTTCTACGCTCTATCATTGCCGTCTGCCCTGGAGGACTGATAATTGAGATATCGTAATCCCCCCCCCTCCCGGCTTTAACTAACCCAACTCTCACCAAGCGCCTGTTTCCCCGTTCCCTGCTCCCAGCCCTGTCCACGAGACCCCTCCCTCCCAACGGCTTAGCTGAGACATACATACATACATACGGAAGTACATACAACATACTTGTTCCTCCTTGCACCAGAAAGGAAGAAGAAAGCTCCAAAAAAATAAAATAAAACAAAAATAAAAATAAAAATAAAAATAAACTCTGAATGGAACGGGTTACCCGTACAGTAACTACATGTAAGTTACCGTGTGTAGTTTCAATATCCTCTTGCATCCCATCCCACCCGGAGAATTTTACGAGTAGGTGCCATTTCGCCTGCAAGGTTCCCCTCCCCTCCCTCCCCCCCGTTGATTTTCCTAGAAACTCTTCGCGCTACGCGCCCATGACCTTTTTTTCGTTCGTTTGTAACTGGAACACGGGACATGGACATGATACTGAATGACTCTATTATTATTGTAATGAACCCTGGGGGGGGGTTGAGGATGAACGAGACCCTTCCCGTATCACAAACCTTCTCTCATAACGAACTGATCCTTGGCAGTTGATTTCCCCGCCCGCCCTTCTGAAACTGTTTGGCTTGGGTAACTACGCAGTAAGGTAACGCAGTGGTTAAGTATGTAGTAACTTATTAACTAGTTACTCCGTAGCGTTACTAACAAGAGTAGGCACGGGGCGCATCAAAAACCATCGCGTTTGTGTTCGTTTTGAATTCAATAAGAAAGGGGTTCTTCGGATAAACTAGTTACAGCGTAATAAATAGTTAATAACTAGCCAAGGATGCCGGTGTGTTTTCCTCGCTTCTTTTTTAAGTTTCAAGTTGTTTGCGTAGCCAACGAGAAGGCCGGATGATGGTCACGGTGTCCTTGGGGGGTTGTTGATGCTTTGGTGCTGTGGTTGCTTGGGATGAATTAATGTACTGTTATTACGCAGTATGGGTATGCAGGAGAAGGAGATAATGCGGGGGTGGTTTGTCCACACTGCGCGCGGGCGTTTGGTGGAACCCATCCCGTGCGCCATGATGATGGTGATTGGCAGAGATTGGGCGGGGGGGGGGGATAGGAGGGTTGGGTGATGTCCATCGTCCGTTGTTGATTCGTTGGGAGGGTTTGTAGAAGGGTTTGTAGAGGGTTTGTAGAGGGAGTCTAAAGATGGGCTAAGCTGGCGTTGTGCAAGAGCTGCGGTTTATTCCCAGGCTTGTACTCCGTACGTTACTCTGTACCGTGATTATCGAGGTAGAGACGAAGTCACTGCTACAAACAACCGGGAGGGTTCTTTCTTTCCTTGCAGCCGAGGGTTAACTAACTAACTACTTGAGCTACGCTGCGTACTCCGTAGTTAAAAAAGAAAGAGGCAGCAGTCCGCGTCCCCTCAACCACCAACAACCACACCACCGTCCTGGCGTCCTGGCGTCTCATTTCTCTTTTTCTCTTCTTCTCGTCGATCTTCATCTTCCTTCATCTTCAAATGCCATCTCCTCTTCTCGTGATCTTCTCCTCTATCGTCTAACTGGCTGTGTTTCTGCATGGTTGGTCTGAGCTGGTTCGTTATCGCAAGTAGTTCTACTACATAACTACAAGTAGTTACTGTACTGATATCAACTATCAACTCCCCTCTTGCGTCATCTCTAAGGTAGCTTGCCACCCCCGGCTCAACCAAAACAACGTCCTTCTCTCTATCTCTCTCCATCTCCCTGTATCTCTCTATAGCAGAGGCTTTGTAATTCCCTTTTATCTTTTTAGGTCCTTTGGTTGCTTCGAAATTTCACGTATCACTAATCCGTTTGAAAACAGCCCCCCCCCCCCCCCCCCCCTGAGCGCTGAATATCCCTTAATCAAAATCGTCCATCGAGATAACAAAGGAAGGCAGGACATGAAAATGTGTATCAACCTCCATATCCATATCCCTCCTTAAATTAGTATAGTCTTTAATATTACTCCTACTAATTAATTCCCTATTAATCAAACATTAGACAATCCGTTTGCGAAGCGGGAGACATTCAGCAATAATGCCATTACCGCATATCGTGTCCTGACTCCCATCTCTTGGTTGTTGGTGGTCGTCTTTGGCATCTTCTATTCCGTCCGCAGGCCAGGCGATGTACCCAACGGCTTCACCGTGTGGGAACAGACACACCGAAACCCCACCCCCTTCTCGCAGAGTACCGTCGTGACGGGGATTTTCTGGTGAGTTTTGTGGCCATCTAAACAATATACCTAACTGATGCAATTCCCTCCAGAGAGAGTCACGAACTAACAGCTTGCAGGATTATCCTACTACTGTCCCAGCTTGGATACATCGCCAACCTCTTCTCCTCAAACCCCGCAAAAGTAACAACTGCCGCGAATGTCGCCGGCTTTTATATCCTCAACAATCTATTCGTCCTCGCTTTCATCCTTCTCTGGGTTAGGTCCATGTTCTGGGGTGCGGAGATCATTGACATTGCAAACTTGATCAGTCAGGGCATTGTCTATTGGAAACATCAAGATCTGCCCCTGGATATCCACCTTCCCGCAGTGGCTGGCCCGTATGCGTGGACTCTATCGACGCTCTTCTGGAACGGAGCTGTTGCGGTTGGAGGAGACAATACCGCTAAGAGGGTCGTTGCTAATATCTTCATCTGGGTCATGTTCGTCTTTGGCCAGGGCCACATTGCTCGAAGGGCAGATTTTGCTTATGGATACTCCTTGAGCTTATTGACGCTGTGTAAGTTTTAGTACTTTCCGATTTTATACCTACTCTCTCTTCTCAGGCGCTAACGATAAAATCCATCTGCAGCCCTCGCTCTAAAGCAGTTCTCGCTCAAGATCATCTCACTTCAGTGGATCTTCGCGTTCGTGATCTTCGGAGTTTTCTTCACCTCCTCCCTCTCCACCTCTGTTGCCAAATACCACAACAGAAACTTCTTCTTCCGAAGCGTCGCGGAGCCGGCCGAGTCCACTGATCGCGAACGCCAGCCATTGCTCAGCGAGGAGTAAGAATGTGGTATGACCACCCTTGCAACACATGAACCCGAGAGAATTGGGTTTTCTGTTGTTCTACGAACGTGATGGTATCGACATGTTTTAACATTTCCTTTGTCCTTCTCTCCTATCTCCAATCAAACACGCGGAATGGTTTTGTGACTCGACGATCCCTTTATTTGCATAACTTCGAAAACATTGATATTTGAAACGAGGGGGTATATACATAGGCTCCGCGACTCCCCTCCGACTTTCTATTCTTATCGTACAAGTGGCTGTCATGTTGACGAGGAGGAGGATGCTGTGAGTGAACAGTTCAGTTCGACACAGCAAGGGAATAAAATTTACCCCAAAAACCGCAGGAAGAAATTGAAAGTCGACATTTCCCGGAAAAAAGAAGGTGGGAAAAAATAAAGAAATTGGTGGAAATTTGTAAAAGTTGTTCCCAAGGTGACAAGAAATCTGAAAAATTTCTTTCAATCAGATTGGAATTAGTCGAACTTTGGCATACCTTAAATTGAACACACAACATGGTGGAAATGGGCAGCTGGAAGTACCTGGGGTGAATGAGATAATGCAGTCAGTCTCTCATTTCATCACAGTGGGAAATGAGAATTCCAATCCCCCTTTTGTTGCTTGCTAAATCGTAGTTACCTACTATTCATATCATTCCCACCCCTGTGGTATTCCCCCCCTCCCTTTTTTTTTTCTTTTCTTTTTTTCCCCTTTTTTTGAACTATATTTGGAGTCAATGGCATGTTTTCCCTCCCTTCCCTCCTTCGCTTTCCTTCTATTTTATAACATCATCGTACATAATATTTATTTTGTTGTATGTTAGTGCTTTCATTCTCAACTCACTCTGTTGCCTTAATTGTTGTTATGGCTTATTGCTTACTGCGTAACATATGTTTTATGTTCATTATCATGATACCAGCAATAGGGAAGTAATATACAGGGTTAGTATAGTTTTTTTTTTTTTTTTTTTTTTTTTTTTTTTTTTTTTTTTTTTTTTGATGGGGACGGGAACGGGACTCACCACCCAACGAACTCATCCACTCAACAAACTGCTATTTTTTCCATGAATCTCTGCAACTCTTCAACTTCAACCACCCATCATGCCACTCAATGAAGCGATTATAGAGCAAGCAATCACTCAATTGAATCAACAATTGATTCCTAAATATGCTGCAGTTGCAAAGGAATTCAGAATCAATCATATTATCTTGATACAGCAGTTCAAAGATCAACAGATCTTCAGAACAGAGATAACATCAACTTACTATCAGAATCTCATAAATACTGAAGAACAACATCTTCTATTTCATATTAATTAGTTATTCAATCACAGATTTTCTGTGATATCTCAAATACTGCGCAATTTTGTATTTGAGATTATTAAGATATAAGTAGAAATCAACTGAGTGTCTTACTTTTGTAAGTAATATAAAACAAAGATTAAGAGCATCTATCTTTATACTCTGAATCAAAAGAGAAAACAGATAGATAATAGCTACTATTTTGAATAATTCTTTATTCTTATAATTACAGTTTTTTTGTTTCTTTTCATATACAATTTCATGAGCTTTTTACTAACTTTTATTGAATAGTTGCAGAAGAAGATCAAGCAGTATAATATTCTATCTCAGAATATCTATAATTTCAATGAAAAAGACTTTCTTCTTGATCTTCTTTATACTCTTAAGCAAATCATTTCTATAGAAGCTCTTAAACAGAAGTATATAATTAAAGCAGTGCAGAATGACAGTAGAGAATTCATTTCTCTACTTACTAATACTTATATAGATGAAACTACAATTTCATCTGCACTCATTTATCACAGAGAATCAAGAGATATGTAAGATATATGACTTAAAGATTTTGATTTTAAAAAGAATCAGATATACTTTACTACTTCAGAAAATGAATAAAGTAATAATGAATATGAATTAATCTGACTGAAACAGGTGTTTAATTCTTATACAAAGTAAAAAGCAAGAAATTATTATCATCTGCTTATATTAGATAATTATTCATCTTATATAAATATAGCATTCATTGATTACACAGATTGAAATCAAATTTTACTCACTATTCTTTCTTCTCACTCTACACACTGTTTACAGCCACTAGATGTTGAAATATTTGACTCACTTATAAAGACATATTCAGATCAACTAGATTTCTATACATGTTCTAACTATGACTTTATTCAGATCACAAAGTGAGATTTTTGATAATTATTTCATGCTGTATGAGAAACCTCTACAACTGCAGAAAATATCAAATCTGTCTTTATAATCACTGACTAGACTGGCCGGCGGGATCATGAATTTCACATTTGATCTCATTTAATCTGATCTCATACATTTCTTGATGTGAGTCTCACCAGAATCAAGCCTTAAAAAAATCTGAAAATGAATCATTTCTGAGAGAAATGACATGAAAAATGATCAGATTTAATTCAAGAACAGTGAAATGAGAGTAATTTCTCAGAATAAACTGTGAAAGATAATCATTCTTTCAAAATCAGAATAAGACTGAGACTGAAGATTAAAATCAGTCTCATTCAGTTCATTCAGTAATTGCTTATATAATCAGAATTTGATAATGATTATTAATAACACTTATGAAACAACTAAATACATTCTTATACAAGTTTATTCTTCACTTTCTCATGAAAACTATACTTCTCTGATATACTGTGATCAGAGATATTAAACTATCTGATAATTTCATATTTTATAATCATAAGTTTCTTAATTGTTTCTTCTTGTAATTGTTCTCAGTAATAGTAATAAATATCTTAACTTGAGTTGAACTTTCACTTCATTCTCATCTCTGTTAATGAAATTGTCAGAATATCATATATCATTAGTTCAACAGTTGAATATATACTCTCAACAATTTTTCATAACTCTAGTATTGATTTAGTGTGTAAATTCATCAGATTATCTTGAAGATAGCAGTTAAATTCAGTTTTATAAGCATGTAGTTTTGCCTGATTTTCAGTTATAATCAATGTATATAAGTTCTGTTTCAAAGTTAGTATTATAGTTCTATATAATATGAAATGTTATCAAAGATTATTACTTACTAGAGAATTGTATTTCACTGTCTTCATATCTTAAATATCTGCTCATTCAAATCTCTGATAGTTAATATTATAGTAGTCTCAGACTAATTTAATATATGAGTCTCATTTCTTCTCTATTCAATCTTGAGAAGTGTAGATATTAACTTAACAGAAGAAATCTAGTAGAGCTGCTATAGTATAGTACTCTGCAGAAGATTGTTCAGTTTTGCTGTAGTAATATATCAGTTTATTTCTTATAGTAATAATAGTCTGTGCTATAGCATTATCTCAGACTGAATTTCTTTTTAAGTGATTCAACTACTTCTTAAGATGAGTAAATAAACTATTATATATTCATCAGACTAACTGCAGTATTAATGTATAAGTAATTGAAACTGTCTTCATTATCTTATAAAACTGAAACAGTAAATTAATCACATATTTCAACTGAGTTCACTTCATATTAGAAAGTTTCAATATCTGAATCTTTTTCTGATCAGAGTATTGCACTCAATGATTAATTATCTGACACAATTAAAGAGTCTGAATAGTCATTTTATATATTGAACTTTACTATATTTTAACATTCTGTATCATATTCAGTGATGTGACTGATTTATTTATTTATTAAATATCATGAAATTGTTATTATTGTTTAGAGAAGGTATAAATCACATTAACAGTATTTCAAATCTGTGATATTTAAATTATTAGTCAATCTATTCAAAATTAACAGTAGTATTATTAAAAAGCATTATTAAAAAACAATATTAAAAAGTATTATTAAAAAATATTATCTTTTATAAAGTGAATGTAAAAGTTACTTGAGTAATCACTTTCATCTCATTCTCATCTTAAGAATCAGTCATCTCATTATTCTTCATCTCAATGTTAAGATTCTTTATCAGTGTTTGTATTATAAATTGAATCACATAAGTAATGCAGAGAATATGACCTTGTTTATCATTTCAGAAATACAAAGTCAATTTTTACTTCAAGCTCTTCATTATAGTATAGTTATTCACAGTATTATCAGTTATAATTATAAGAAGACTGAGACTAATATTTCAATAGTTATTTTTAATCACAGTTATTAATATCTCTGTTATATAATTCTCAGTATGACTACTGATCAATGATTTAAATTCAATTAATGTCTCTTAATAAGTTCAGTTCTCATCAATGTAATAATATATAACTCTTATAAATGTAAGATTATTTATACTAGTTCATGCATTTACTGTGAGAGATACTCTTCAATAATTCTTCAATTCTGATTCTAGATATTGTATATTAACTTTATAGTGTGTCTCAAGATTGAACTGAAGACAGAATCAATGTGAAATATAAAGATTTAAATTAAGTATTTGAAGAAGTGTTTGAAATTCAGAGTTTTCAATTGATTAAAGAGAAAGATTCAGAGATATACACATACAAAGTAATTATTCATAGAAGTTATTAGATGAGAGTTATGAAATCAGAGTACTGATATATAATTATTTTCACATGATTTTCTTTAAATTAGAAAGTTAGTGTTACTAAAAATCATTATCTGATAGAGTAACTTATCAGCTCAGTAGTAATTTTCTGATTATTTTTCTTTTATTATCTGCATTTTAATGACTTCAGATATCAGGAAATTTCTTCAGAGCTATAACTAGTTTATAATGAATGTTTCTGAATAAAGTTGTAGTAATTGTAGCAGAGAGATGACTCTTCAGTAATCTATAATACAATCTATTAATAATTATTTCATAGTTCATCTCAATATTTGTATTGAGTTTTTCATAAATTTTGTGACCTGGAATCAGATGTGAAGAATGAAGTGATTATTTATTATAATTAAAAGAGAGTATTCTGTGTTGAATTGTAAATAATATAGACTTTGTAATTCACAGTAATTTCTTGAAGAGTTTATGAATCTTCAATAGAATTAAAAGAA